CTTTAAGTTTAGAACTTCCTATCCTTTGTAATTAGAATTGCTTTTAGAAAAGTTATAAAGAGTACGCTAAGGTAGAAACTTAAAGACTACTAATAACTTATTAGAATTAGAGGCAACTGCTAATGTCTAACTAACTACTTTTTAACTCTAGAGTTAAACATGCTCTAGCTAAGCTATACCCTACCTAATTTAAAGTTAATGCATAGTAACATGTCCTAATAGACCTTAATTAACTACTAAATTACCCTTAATAATGCCTTAAATCACCCCTGCTACTTTAATAGTAAGAGACCTTTAAGGCACTCTTAATAACGCCTAAATGCTACTACACTAAACACACGCCTAAGGTTAATAACTGCATAGATAGCAAAGAATAAAGAGTAAGTCTTAATTATTAACAGGCTAGACATCTATATAGATTACTATTAGAACAGGCGCGCACGCATAGTGTTTAGTTTAGAGGATACTACTAGCAGTGCAAAGGAATATTTTAGAGCAAGAACACCTAGCTAAATTAGACTAGTTTTAGTTTAAGAAATTAGAGGACATAACAGTAATACTTTAACGTACTTCATAGGCAAGTTGCTTACACACCTAAGTTGCTTACTTTTGCTAAGACCCTACTAAACTACTTTTCCTACACTAATGTATTCTCTATAACACTACTTAGACATGCTAAAAGAATGTTAGATATAGCTTATGCTCTAAGCTTTTAAATAAAACATAAAACTTTTTAAAAAACATGCTGCAGCTATATGCAAAGTTCTATAAAAGATAATAAATAACTATAGCACTAGATAATGTTTATAAGCTAATTTTATAGTTAAATTATAAAGGTTAGGTAATAAAAAGAAGCAGGTAATTATTAAAACTATACTTAAGCTATATACGCAAGGAATTTCCCCTTAGATAGCATTTATAGCTAATATAGCTAATTCTTTGCACGCTAAGCATAATTTAGGCTATATTTACATAAACTAGCCTAGTACATTTAAAAGCGTTATTTAAAGCTTAAAGTAACATTTAAGTGTAAGTATAACTATAAGAGAGCTCTTTGCAAGAGTCCTAGGGTAATTTAAAGCAGGTTTAGCCTTATAGAGAATATTAAAGCTAAGTATAGCATTTAGAATAATAACATGTAACGTACCTAACAGGTTGGCCGGCCACACGGGTTGGCCGGCCACTTTTGCTAAGCCCCTACTAAAACCACCCTATTCTCTCACAAAACAGCTCACTTTAGCCCTATATAAAGTAATATAACATAAGATATTATTTAGAGTCTACTTCTACTACTTGCTTATATGTATATAAGTTATGCCTAGTCTAATTGCACTACCTAAATTACCTTTAACTTAGCTTACCTTCTTTAGCGCGCACCTGCGTCTTTAGCTTCTTTCTATTACTACGCGCTTTAAACTCCTTTAGAGCAGTTAAATAAGCTTTATTCTTAACTATTAAGGTCTTTTTTACCTAAATCTGCTTTCTTTTATGTAATCTATGTTGCGTAGCAGCCTTATTTACTGCTTAAAGCTTTATAATCTTATAGCCTACTTTATTATATTAATGCTTTAGATAACTATTATCTACTTTTTATTACCTTACTATATTGCCTTTACCTATTTTTATCTCTCTAAAGCTATAATAACTGCTTTAGTTAATATCTAGCCTATTATAAAGCTTAACTTATTAAAGTTATACCTGTCTTTATCCTAGATATTATACTTAGCTTTTATGTTAGCTACTAGGCAAAACTAGCCTTAGATAACCTCTAGATTCTTATAAAGCACTCTCTTATAATTATACTTATAATTAAACTTTATTATAAACTTAGAGCAGTGCTTAACCTATATACTAGGCTAGTTTAAGCTAACCTAGCCTAAATTGCGCTCTGCAGGCAAGGAATTAGCTATATTAGCTATAGCTGTAAGCCTAGAGGGAAATCTGCGCGTAATAAGCTTAAGTATGTACTTAACAACTACCTTCTTTTTAAGCTTAGTTAGATTCCTTAATTTAGGCTAGCATTCTGCTTGTAAAGGCTATCTAGCGCGTTAATTACTTAGTGTTGTGTAAAAGACATTATAGATAGCTATAGCATGTTGTAAGAAGAGTTTTAAGTCTTATTTAAAAGCCTAAAGAGTAAGCTGTATCTAACGTTCTTTAGAAGATTTAATCTAGTGTTGTTGTTAAGGCATTATGTAGATAGGTAGAGTTTAGTAGAGGCTTAGCAAAAGTGGCCGGCTAACCTGTTAGGTACGTTACAACTTTAGTAAAATAGGCTTTATAATTAGCTAAATATTTTTTAACTATAACGTACCTAACAGGTTAGCCGGCCACACAGGTTGGCCGGCTACTTTTGCCAAGCCCCTACTAAAACTACTCTATTCTCTTGCAAAACAGCCTACTTTAGCCCTATATAAAGTAATATAACATAAGATATTATTTAGAGTCTACTTCTACTACTTACTTACATGTATGTAAGTTATACCTAGTCTAATTACACTACTTACATTGCCTTTAACTTAGCTTACCTTCTTTAGCGCGCACTTATGTCTTTAGCTTCTTTTTATTACTACACACTCTAAACTCCTTTAAAGTAGTTAGATAAGCTCTATTCTTAACTATTAAAGTCTTTTTTGCCTAAACTTACTTTTTTTTATGTAATCTATGTTATGTAGCAGCCTTATTTACTACTTAAAGCTTTATAATTTTATAGCTTACTTTATTATGTTAATGCTTTAAATAACTATTATCTACTTTCTATTACTTTACTATATTACCTTTAGCTATTCTTATCTCTCTAAAGCTATAACAACTGCTCTAGTTAATATCTAGCCTATTATAAAGCTTAACTTATTAAAGTTATACCTGTCTTTATCCTAGACACTGTACTTAGCTTTTATGTTAGCTACTAGGCAAAACTAGCTCTAGATAACCTCTAGATTTTTATAAAGCACTTTTTTATAATTATACTTATAATTAAACTTTATTATAAACTTAGAGCAGTGCTTAACTTATATACTAGGCTAGTTTAAGCTAACCTAGCCTAGATTGCGCTTTGCAGGCAAGGAATTAGCTATATTAGCTATAGCTGCAAGCCTAGAAGAAAATCTGTGTGTAATAAGCTTAAGTATATACTTAACAACTACCTTCTTTTTAAGCTTAGTTAGATTTCTTAATTTAGGCTAGCATTCTACTTATAAAGGCTGTCTAGCGTGTTAATTACTTAGTGTTATATAAGAAACATTATAGATAGCTGTAGCATGTTGCAAGAAAAGTTTTAAGTCTTATTTAAAAGCCTAAAAAGCAAGCTGTATCTAACATTCTTTAGAAGATTTAATCTAGTGTTGTTATTAAGGCATTATGTAGATAGGTAGAGTTTAGTAGGGGCTTAGCAAAAGTGGCTGGCCAACCCGTGTGGCCGGCCAACCTGTTAGGTACGTTACTTACACTTAAAACTTTACTTTAAGCTTTAAATAACACTTTATAAATATTCTAGGCTAGGTTATGTAAATATAGCCTAAATTACGCTTAGCGCGCAAAGAATTAGCTATATAAGCTATAAATGCTATCTAAGAGGAAATTCCTTGCGCATATAGCTTAAGTATAGTCTTAATAATTACCTACTCTTTTTTATTACCTAGCCTTTATAATTTAGCTATAAAATTAGCTTGTAAATGTTATCTAGCGCTGTAGTTATTTATTATCTTTTATAAAACTTTACATATAGCTATAGCATATTTCTTTAAAAGTTTTATGTTTTATTTAAAAGCTTAGAGCATAAGCTGTATCTAACATTCTTTTAGCACGTCTAAGTAGTGTTATAGGGAATGCATTAGTGTAGGAAAGGTAGTTTAGTAGGGTCTTAGCAAAAGTAAGTAACTTAGGTGTGTGAGCAACTCGCCTGTAAAGTACGTTATACTATAATTACTACTAATAAAGACTATTAGTCTACAGAGGGGGGGGTAGTGTAATAATTCTTATAAATTATTTTATCTTAAGTTGCCTAGAACCTCTAGAAGGCTCTTGTATTAGCCCTAACCTTAACTTAGCCCTAACTCTGCCTAGCCTCCTGCTGTTACCCCTATTCTCTTATGTATTTAGTTGCACCTTGCCCTTGTAGCTAGCTTAGTAGTTTTCTAATATCCTTTGTACAAGGCCTATAGGTGTTAATGGAAATCCCTAGGTTCTAAGTCCCTACGCACTCCCATATGCCTCTGAGTGGATTCCCACCGCACCCGGACCCATTGTCTTGCCTGTGCCGTTACAATGTCTTAGATTTAAACATAGTTAAGTAAATAATTAATGTAATATTATTAATAAGGCTGTTACTAGTAAAAGTAAGTTTTCTAATATTGTAACAGCGCAAGCAAGACAATGGGTCCGAATGCGGTATGAATCCACTCAGAGGCATAGAGGAGTGCGTGGGGACTCAGTAACCTGGGAATATCATTGACCCCTATCGGCCTTGTGCAAAAGGATATCAGAAAACTACTAAGCTAGCTAAGGGGAGAGGTGCGACTAAATACTTGGGGGAATAGGGGTACAGCAGGGGGCAGGGCAGGGTCGGAGCCAGGTCAGAGTCGGTGCCGAGTCAGGGTCGATACGGGGACCCTTCGGATAGGTTCCGGGCAACCTGAGATGGAACACTTCATGAGAATCGTTACAAATATAATGTAACAGCACAGGCAAGACAATAGGTCTAAATGCGGTATAACCACTTAGAGGCATATAGAAGTGTGTAGGGACTTAGAAACCTAGGAATGCTATTTACACCTATAGGCCTTGTACAAAAGGATATTAGAAAACTACTAAGCTAGCTAAGGGGGGAGGTGCGACTAAATACTTAGGGGAATAGGGGCACAGCAGGGGGCAGGGCAGGGTCGGAGCCGATACGAGGAATCTTCGGATATAAGGTTCGCCAGGTAACTTTGAATGGAACGATTCAAGCGAATTGTTACAGTTAGCGATTACTCTAATCACTGGCGAAATACGCGATGGTCCCGATCTGGTGTTTCTATTCGCAATATACCCACATAACCTGCTGACCTAAGCTTAAAGGTACATTCATTGTGTTCCCGGTCTACCCTTCCTCAAGCCTCCACACTCCTTCTGTGGTTCTGCTTAGTTCCGGTAACACTGTTGCTTGCTTGTTTGTAATAGCATCTCTCCTAGACACACTTTCACGGACCTGTAGTTAGGAGAAACGTTGAGTGTAAAATAATACTAGTGAGCCTGAATTCAAGAATCCTTTCACACGCTTGCTCCTCAACTAAGCACTCATCCTTGGTCTCCTACGTCCTCTCCCCCCCCCTCTTCCTAGAATCAAACCCCTTGCACTACTCACGCTAGATCGTCCCACAGGTTTCCCTACTGGAGTCTTCGAAATCGGAGCCTTCGCAGGAATTTCATCTTCACTATCACTCTCAGACGAATCTGAAGGCCCCAAGGCTTTAGGATTAGCCTTTTTCTTATTGATGCTAGTGAAAGTCGAGGTAGGAGCAGTGACGGTAGTAGTCGTGGTCTTGATTGAAGTTCTAGCAGCGTTTTTAAGACGGTTCCCAGAGACGATTTTGATCTTCTTGCCTGATATGCCTGAACGCGAAAAGATGGAGTTTCCGGATCGAGCTGGATTAGGGCGAACTATGAGCGGGGATGCTTTGTGTTCCGCATCTTTCTCTTCAATCACAGGCTCGTCTTCCGCGGCATAGTCGTCGAACAAGCGATTGAGAGATTCGTTGTCTGATTCCTTCGCCATTTCAATGGCAATTTTTGCCATCATATTCTCCTCTGCTTCTCTGGCTGCCGCTATTGCCCGCGCCTTCTGTTCCCCCATTGTTTTCTTCCTTGCTCTCTCCTGCTCTTCTTCCGCCTTTCGAGGCCCCTCAAGGGCCGCAATCGACGATTGTGTAAGAACGAGAGTAGATTTAGTTTGGTTATCTTCTTCATGAATGTCGTCTTCACTAGACATATTTCTGGTGCTCGTCCTCTCTGATTGACTGCCACGAGGTCGAACCTGAACTTTGGGTTTAACAGGCATAGTCTTCCTCCTCTCTCTATTGCAAGAATTATTCTTCTCGCGATTCGGACTTACGTCTCCTTCCTTGAAGTTTCCCGGGAGCTCAGTGGGCAGGCCGTCTCTACCTTGATTCTTTCGGGCTAACCACGTTGATGCCCGTCCTTTAGCCCTGCCAGAACGGTTATATTCAACTATATCATCTTCATTTTCTTCATCATCAGAATCAAGTGTGAGCTCTTCATACCGTGACTTGCGAGCTCGTTTGGTGTCTCCAGGGGGGCCATTGGGCTCCAAATTACTCTTCCTGGTACTAAATGTCTCATCTTCCTCCACACGATAGCGGAAGGTGTTTGGTGCCTTAGGCTTCGGGCCCGCTGTATCCATGCTACTCTTCATAGGCAGCACATCGGACTGAAGAATCGATTGAGCATCATCAGTTGAATCGTTGATATGTGTTTGCAGAACTTCGGGGCGCTCGTGGGCTTCTCTGTCTCTGAAAGGGGCGAGAAGTCTGCTATGAAGAGAAAGCCTAACGATCTTAGATTTGCCTTTCGTCCTGGCCGCGACAAGAAAGAACCGGCCGTCTTTCTTTGCATCCTCCAGTAGCTTCCGCAGAACTTCTTTCTGGTACTGTTTCCCAGATGCATTCCTTGGCTGAGCAGGTTGGTCTGCTTCGTCCTTCTTCCTGTACTTTTCCTTCCTTGGCTTGCCTATGCGTCTAATATTCTGTTCCTCCCCACCTCCCTCCTCCTCCTCCTCCTCCTCCTCCTCCTCCTCCTCCTCACCTCGCAGACGCTTCTTACCTAAGCGGGGGATATCTCCATTTACGTCGAGGTCAGTGTAGTATGTTCCGAATTCGTCGTTGTGCATTGAAGTATCTGGGTGGTATCTGGCATATATCACTGACGAAGGTTCAGCATAGCCTTGATGACGGGAATCATTGGGATCCATATACGGAGGATCACCCCCAAGGGATGGATCAATCATGGAGTCCTCGATGGGAGAATACTCGATACCGTTTCGATTCGTGCGATGATAGCTTTCATCCATAAACCGGTCGTCAAAATACGGGTCGTCCTGCTTCGCTCTCTCTGCTTCATCACGGCGACGCTGCAGACGGCCACTATTCTGTCCTATTACCTCATCCTCCCGCAGCCAGTTGAGGTTGGACACGCTGAAGTCGACAAGACATTCCACCGACCGCACATCGGCCACTTTCTTGGTATCATGTCCTAATAGTGTTCCCTTAGGCTCATAAGGACGTTGGCGGGGATCCCGTCGACAAGCGCCAGTATTGCACACTCTCCTGCAGTGTGGGCACTTCCAGTTAGGATTCTCTATGATGGCTAAAGGCATCATATCATGGGCTCGGAAAAGGGTGCCGTAGCAGTAGCTTAAGTCGCAATTTGAACACATCGCCATTTTCCACTTTGGATGGCGATGCAAACAAAAATGGCAGGATCTGTGGTTACTAAGCCACTGCTTAGACCGCTTCTTTACCATCTTCTTCACTATTCCGTCGTCGTTGACTTGGATCTCTTCCCTGTCTGATACCTCGTCCTCGGGCTGAGGATTCTTGATGTCAACAAAGGGTCGGATCTTCAGCTGTTCTTGGCAGACTTGGGCAAGAGTCTTCTTCCCAAGATACCGACGCTCCTCTTGTAAGGGAAGCGGGGTCTTTTCTGTCAGACGACCGTCGATATCAATTATCTGAGCGCGCCACCCTTCGTACTTATGGATCAGGTCCTTCCATTTCCACTGTTCGACCCAGGTGTATCCAGACTGACATGCACAGCTTCGGCCCATACAATAGCAGTCCATACAAACATCATATGGCTCTTCCGTTTCTGTGCCAAGCCCCAACACGCAAGATTTGCATGTCAGGAATCGGTTGAAGATGTTGGACCGACAGTAGGCACAGGTAACATTACTGTCATAAGCAATGAAGTCACAGTGCTCTTTTGTATCAGGTGCAAACATCTCAGAGAGTACTATCCCCTTGTAAAGATCGAACAGTCTCTTAAAGTCCCGTTGCACTTGTCGGACTTTGACGGACGTTTGGATAGCCTCCGCTTGCTCCCCTCCAAGTTCCACCTGGCTCCTTGCGGCCTTGATTAGATTGGAGTACTTTAGAAGAGTGTAATAGATAATGGCCTTGTTCTTGTATTGTTCGTCACGGCAGACAATGCGCGAATTTGGGAGTGCTTCGGATATGGCATACTCCAGAGTCTCAACGGTGGTTCGATTCCAAGCGATTTTCATGGTCCGAGTGCCGCGGTTCCATACTTGATGTGGGGCCAGCGGAGGAATCAGAATGAAATCACCAGGTCGTTGCTCAACGACATAGGTCTTGAAGGGTGCCTTTTTCCATGCGATGAGCTGCGCAAAGTGGTTTTCTACCTCAATATCATGGCCCAGAATGGAAAGCCAGTATTCAGACACAACTTGGCGGTCTTTCGTCTCGGTCATGAACCAGATGGAGGACCCAGGGCGCTCTGGCTTTCCCTCCTCGCTGATGTGACTTGATGCATTCACCATGATATTTTGCCCAAGCGATGCGCACATCTCTCGGTGTGCTGGTGTGTAAGTACCCTCGTGCCCGATATAGCACATAAGATTCTCAGCACGCATATCAGGTGGCAGGCTGCTCATGAGATCTCCAGCGCGCGCGATCCCGCGACCTTTTCGAAAGCCCGCCGTTTCAGTGGATCCCGGTCCCCCTATCTCGCCAGTGCTCTCGTTAAGGTAGAACAGGCTCGGTGGGATGTGTTCCTTAAGTTTGTCTTGCCATACCTGCGGGCAGTCAATGTCCTTCAGATATATGCGTTGACGCGTCTTATCCCTGTATCGCTCTAGCTCGTCGAAGAACTGGTCGGTGAGCTTTCCCATATGCTTGAGGTAGTGCCTGATGGTAAGCGGGATGTTCTCTTTCGAGGTCAGATTGCGTGCATTCTCAACTGTAGCCTTACTTAGCTTCCCCGAGAATGGTTAAACCTTCCGATGGGACTTACCCTTATCGCCATAATTGTCGCGTAGCCACGAGGGTGTAAAGGCCCATGGATCCAATACCTCCTCGAAACCGTCGATGACTAATGGTTTGCCACCTATAATTACGTGAAGCAGTACAAGCTTCTCGAATTGCTCCATGCCGTTACTAGCCAGCATCTCATACGAGATTCGGTCTACATATTGGAAGTTGTCCGCAGTCTCCACGAACGTACGCACGTCAAAATCAGGGGGTATGGGCTCGAATGATGCCCTTGGCCGTGTGGCGGGCATGTTGGCGGTGGCGGGCGTTCATCGACAGGTAGAGTCACAGGAGGGTAGCGGATCGAAAAATGTGGCCACTCCACCACAATTCTCCCTCAGTCACGCAAGTTGCGGTTATGCAGGAGTTGCAGTTAAGGGTCGCGACTCTGAAGTAAGTGGAACGAGTGGAGGCGGCCGAGGCCGAGGCCGATAGAAGTCGTGTGTGTCGCGCAAGTTGAATATGGAGTAGCAGAAAGCCACAGCCCTGGAAGCCTGGACTGCCACACGTGATCGGATGAACCTTGAGCACAGATCACCTAGGTGTCCCGACGACGGCCTTCACTCCCTTTGAAACTCTCCAGCGACCTGCTTTACCCATCACTGCATCCCATCTTTAGCCAACTGTTGATGATCGGACGCGATCATTCGCCTTGTTATCCTTTCATTCTCCACGAGGCTTCCTTTCTGCTCTATCCAAGACTTTTCTCCATCATTTTGTGCCAGTACGGTGAAGGTAAATCCGTAAACCTTCTGGGGGACAAAGACTAGTCGCTGAATGAACTTTGAGGCCTAGGTTACCTTGATACAAAGGTGGATAGAGCCGGGGTGCTTCGACTCAATCCCCTTGTTCGTCACACAATGGCTTCGTGGCTCCTCCGTCGGCCATGGCGATATTCTAATATTTTCCTTCAACTCCCACCTAGCTCTTTATACTCCAACCAGAATCTAAATACTGCAATTATTCAAATTTGGAGAAGACACGATGTAGCATCCGCGTTCCAATTATTGAAGCCCTGGTCAACTTCATGTCACTTGAGCACCACACCATATTCTGCACGCATCCATGAAACGCATTCCAACTTCAACCCTGCGGCTCCATCATCAGGAATAACAGCAACCTCACAAGGTATTCCTCCGAAGTCGCTTCCGGTGTACACGCCTCCTCGGATTGGCCTTCTCTCTTACCTCCCTAAACCAATTGTTCCGTACGCCGAACTCATCCGACTGGACAAGCCCACTGGAACTTATTATCTCTTCTTCCCATGCCTCTTCAGCACACTCATTGCTGCTACAATGGCCACACCAATAACCACACCGTCCGCTGTCGTTGGTGCCACGACCTTGTTTCTTACCGGAGCTCTGGTAATGCGAGGAGCTGGCTGCACCATAAACGACCTCTGGGACCGCAATCTTGATCCACATGTTGCGCGCACTCGGCTAAGACCTATCGCGAGAAAGGCTATAAGCGCAAAAGCAGCAATTTTGTTCACCAGTGGCCAGCTTCTTATCGGACTAGCTGTACTTTTATCACTGCCTTTCGAGTGCTTCTGGTATGCAACTCCATCGCTTCTATTTGTTGCCACTTATCCTCTGGCCAAACGCTACACCAACTATCCTCAGTTTGTGTTAGGCCTTACGTTCTCTTGGGGCGCAATGTTGGGATTTCCTGCATTGGGAGTGGATCTTCTTACAAATCAACCCGCTCTCACTTCGGCAGCCCTCTTGTACTCGAGCAACGTTGCTTGGACAGTGCTGTACGACATGATTTACGCACACATGGATATTGAAGATGACGCAAAGGTCGGGATCAAGAGCATCGCGCTTAAGCATGACAAAGAAACCAAGGCGGTCTTGACGGGGCTTGCTGTAATCCAAGTAGCACTCTTGGCCTCTACTGGCGTCGTTGCAGGAATGGGCCCAATCTTCTTCGCTGGGTCTTGTGGAAGTGCGGTGGCAACATTAGGAACTATGATCTGGAGGGTAAATTTAAAGGATGTAAAAGACTGCTGGTGGTGGTTCAAAAATGGTTGTTGGTTAACAGGAGGCGGCATCGCTCTTGGGCTCGTCGGAGAATACTTCGCTCAAGCCCACGGTTTATACAAGGGGGAGGAAAACTCAGGCCGGGATTAGAAATAGGTCGCTACTTCTCCTAGACTACCTGTTGGTATTATAAACCTGGAGTTGCGGACTAGTCTAGCTTAATATGCAGGGCAGAAAAGAGCTGCCAGAACTTTGTCGCATGGATATTAACTGCGTCTTGCCGAAAACCCATGTACTTTTAGAGATAAAAAAAACTGGACATCTCGCTAAAGAGGTATTTGAATCTACCCGTGATAAAATCTCGATTATGCATTCTGCCTGGTGGTTTCTATTATGGTACTATACAACCATTTAACGGCTTACCATGAGCCTCCGTTCAATCACGGAGGTTAGCTCGAGTAGTAACACAACTCACATTCTTGTCCTAAGACTGCATTTATTCTCCCCCCCCCAAGAAAAAGAATGAAACTTGATACTAACTCTCCATACTCATCAAGTTAGAAGATGGACATGGGCATGTCGCGGGAGGTTTCTCTATACCGCGGCGCTAGCAACCATATGTTGTACATTTTCTTCGGTATCAAGGAGGATAGGAGGCGGCTCTTACTGCTGCTGTTCTGGTTCTGATATCTTCTCATTTCTCATCCCCTCTTGCACTACCTTAAATCGCTGGGCGATACCTTCCTCTTCCGGTCCCTTCGCAGGTGCTGTACATTCATTTTTAATCCAATCCCCGCCCGTATCATCCCCCTGCCACCCCCAGCACGTCCAACCCATACTTTCCCCGTCTCATTTCCAATTGCTTTCGTACCAACACAGCGGTCTGGCTTCCTCATTCAATCTGCTAGCACGTCTTCCATTCTGTTTTCTTGTTCGTTTGGATGTTTACCGAAGGCTTTGAGTTGAATGTGCATATATATTGTAGGCGGAAACAGCAAGAATCAGGCGCCATATAAGAGAGCTAGCACTCGCTTAGAGAGCAAGATGCTGTATAATCATAGCCTTTTTATACTAGATAACGTACACTACAGGCAAGTTACTTACACACTTAAGTTACTTATTTTTACTAAGACTCTACTAAACTACTTTTCTTACACTAATGCATTCTTAACAACACTACTTAGACGCGCTAAAAAAAATGTTAGATACAGCTTATACTCTAAGCTTTTAAATAAAACATAATACTTTTAAATTAACATGCTATAGCTATATATAAAGTCTTTTAAAAAATAATAAATAACTAACACACTAAATAACTTTTATAAGCTAATTCTATAGCTAACTTATAAAATCTAGGTAATAATAAAAAGTAGGTAATTATTAAGCACATACTTAAGCTATATATATAAGGATTTTTCTCTTAGCTAGTAGCTATAGCTAGTATAGCTAATTCTTTACACGCTAAGTATAATCTAAGCTATGTTAGCATAAACTAGCCTAGTATATCTATAAAGTGTTATTTAAAGCTTAAAGTAAAGTTTTAAGTATAAATGTAGTTAGTAGATGTCTAGCTTATTATAAAGCCTATTTTATTAAAGTTGTATATTGTTGAATCAGCTCTGTCAGCTAGCTGCTTATAGTATAAGCACTTAAGTAGCAAGAGTAATAGTAGTGTACAGTGTGCACAGCGTACAAAGTAGGTAGGGTAAGGGCAACATGTTTCTAGTTCTATTGCTCTGTCTTTTCCTCTATACAAAGGAAAAAAAGAAAATCTAAATGTTTACACACAGAGGTTTACACACAAGCATTATGTAATATAAGTACATAATTCTACTTATGCGTAATAGCTTATATCTAGGCTATAACACTACTACTATGTATAAACACTAGTAACTTTTTATTTTTATCTAAAAAGTTGCCTTTTATATAAGTTACCTTTTTTTAATTTATATAAGTCTATTTAGTTACATTCTGCCTATACTTTACTTTATTTATTAAAACTTACTTTAGTAATGCTATATGTTAGAATAAGCTAGTTACACTATATAAATAGCTTTATAAATAGTGTAAAGTATTTTAAGCTATTATTATCTAGCCTTTATATGCTTACTTTATAAGTAATTTAGCAGTATATAAGCTATTTTATGTAGGGTTTTATAACAGAATAGTGTAAGATCTTTACATAGGCAGGTGTGTAAGAAGGTGTATATAATAAAGTTTATTTTTTTATACTTTTTTTTTATCTTTTACTTTTTAAGCCTTACTATATAATTCCCTAGCTTTTTTTTTAATATAGTGCTAATAGTAACAGATCTTCCTACCTGCACACACACACACAGATGTCTCTCTAGCCCTCCTCCTCTACCTCTAGCGCTGTTAGCGCAGGCGTCTTTAACGTCCTTATGTAGTTTAGCAGCCTAGGGCGCATTTATGTTACTCTTTTAACTAGTTCTACTACTAATTAGTAGTTTATATAGTGTTTTAGTATAAATATATAAATATTTTAGCTTTTTTACTTTCTTTTTATATAAAATGCTAATTATAAATAAGCTAAAAAGTAGCATATAGCAGCTTTACTATTTTATAATATTAATATTATTTTACTTACTAGCACTAATCTACAGCTATAAGTAGTAAAAGTTATATGTTATAAAAAGTACTTTTATATAGTTTTAGTTTAAAGTTATAGTTAAGTCTTAGTAACTTTATATACTTATTATTATAGTAGCACTACTAGTGCTTTTTTATTATTAAGTGTTATATGCTAGCTAACTTTTAAGCTAATGCTTATACTTTATGCGTATAGTAAAGCTATAGTCTACATTATAACTACTACACGTAAGGGGTGGTGTGTTCTAGAGAGAGCTAGTAGCTTTTTTCTTTCTTATATACTAGATAAATAAACTATTTTTTAAATAGATTTTTCTTTTTTAATTTTATAATAAAAAAATAAGTGTGTATAATAAAAAAAATAAAAAAATAAGCTTTATATAAAAGTGTTATTAGTCTAGTTAGTCTAAAGCATCTTTACGCACAAGATCTAGCTAGTCTACAGATGCTTCTATCTAGACAGAGAGGTAGTTAGTTAGAACTAATAATTAAAAGGCTTAATTTAGTGTTTATATATATATTTACTAAGTTATTTTTACTATTAATTTACTTAATTTTTATAATCTCTTTTTTTTTATATAATTTATAAAGTAATATAATGTTAATTATAAGTTATTTTTTACTAGTAGTGCCTAGCTTAATAAAGTAATTATATAAAAACCTTAAATTTATGTAAATTACTACTAAAATTAGTAGTAGTTTAAGTATTTCTATAATCTACTATAAAGTTATAACGTACCTAACAGGTTAGCCGGCTACACAGGTTAGCTGGCTACTTTTGCTAAGCCTCTACTAAACTCTACCTATCTACATAATGCCTTAACAACAACATTAGATTAAATCTTCTAAAGAACATTAAATACAGCTTACTCTTTAGGCTTTTAAATAAAACTTTTCTTATAACATGCTGCAGCTATTTATAATGTTTTTTATATAATACTAGGTAATTAACACGCTAGATAGCCTTTACAAGTAAAATACTAGCTTAAATTAAGAAATCTAACTAAGCTTAAAAAAAAGTTGTTGTTAAGTATATACTTAAGCTTATTACACGCAGATTTCCTTTTAGGCTTATATCTATAGCTAATATAGCTAATTCCTTGCGCGCAGAGCGTAATCTAGGCTAAGTTAGCTTAAACTAGCCTAGTATATAGGTTAAGCACTGCTCTAAGTTTATAATAAAGTTTAATTATAAGTATAATTATAAAAAAGTGCTTTATAAGAATTTAGAGGTTATCTAGGGCTAGTTTTACCTAGTAGCTAACATAAAAGCTAAGTATAGTATCTAAAATAAAGACATATATAACTTTAATAAGTTAAGCTTTATAATAGGCTAGATATTAACTAAAGCAGTTATTATAGCTTTAAAAAGATAAAGACAGCTAAAGGCAATATAGTAAAGTAATAAAAAGTAGATAATAGTTATTTAAAGCATTAATATAATAAAGTAAGCTATTTTACTCTTCTTTTCTTTTTAAAAGCTGCTATTACTTTTTTGCTTAGTATAAAAAAAATTTACTTTAAAACTAGGTTATTATAGTCTCTAAAAATAGCTAGATAATAAATAAGCTTAGGCTGTAGTAGTTAAAGCACTTTAATAAGTATATAAAAAAAAGTTGTAAGCACTTATTAGCTTTTTATTATTAATAGCTATAAAAGCTATAACTTACTTAATTTTTAGTAGTACTATAAAAAAAATAAAATTATTTTTATTTATATGCTTTTACACTTATTACACCTTTTACAGCCTTTTAATGTAGATTATTTTACTCTTTTAAAGAAAGTATATAAGCACTAAGCTAAAGATTTTATGTGTAACTAGATTACTTATATTATAAAACTTAAGTTCCTACTATGCTTTATATATGCTTATAATGCAGTAATTACTTCTAGTAATATCTAAGAAGGGTTTTAAAGCGCTAGTTTAGTCTTATTTAACCTAGAATAAGTTAAAATAGCCTTTAACATCTAGTTATGTACTTTATTACTACTACTACTTATTAATAATAAGCCCTAGTAGTTATAAACTTTAAGTAATACTTTTAAATTTAGGTTATAATTAACACTTATAAAGGTAAAAATTTAAAGACATATAAATAGCTTACTAATGTTTATAGTAAAAGCCTTTAAGAAAGTTTTAAAAAAAGTAGTAATTATTACATAAAATACTACAACAGTTTATAAATAATCTGTAAAAGCAAAGCTTGCTTAGAGTAATTGTCGCAACTACTAATTAGAGAGCAATAAGAAGCAAGTCTATTAACTATAAGAGGCTTATAGAGAGCTTAGGCGCTAAGTGTCTTAGGCTGCTTGTCTGAAACACAGGCGAGACACCAGGCCTATGTGCGCGACAGTAGGTCCCTATGCTCTTCTTATGCAACAGTAATAGTTAGCGTATTAAAGTAGGTTATCTAGGTTAAAGAATAGTTACAGCATAATGCTTAGCAAAGTAGTATTAGACAGGTAATAGATGTATAATTATTAGATTAAAGCACTGTTTCTAGGCTTCCTAAGATGAATGATGGGTTTGGATATAATGTATGGGATGATCATTAATTGTGTTGATTTATTGATCCTTTTTCTGCTCTACTCGTGTTGCTCGGCTTTTGTTTTTCCGATCTGAGTCCCTCGCGCA